CCAAAAAAAAAAAAAAAAAAAAAAAAAAAAAGAGGAGGGGCTGCAGGAGGAGGAGGGAGGGGAGAGCAGACAGCTGCCCCGTTGCAGCCTCTCCCTCCAAGGGCGGCTGCTGGGAATTCCTGCCCATCCCAGGCTAATGTCTGAGACGGGCCACCTGTGTCCTCAGGCCAAGGAGTAAAGCCTCCTGGGAACCCTGCCTAGCCCCGCCCAGGACAGTGCCCGGTGTAGGGCTGCACCCTAGCAATGAGGCTGCTGCCCGGGCAGGGTCCCTGGCTGGAGCTCATTCCCACTGTCCTCAGCAAATGCGTCCTGAGCACCCGCTCTGTGCCGAGGGCTGGGCAGAGGCGCGTGCCGGTGCAGGCTGTCATGTGGACTCGCTGTTGCAGGAGTTTTAGGAGACCAGCATCAGGCCTGTGCCCACCCATCTGCCCAAGGGCGGGGCCAGAAAGTGTGCCACGCTGGGCTTGGGGGCACCAGCCCAGGGGAGGTCAGGAGCGACTGGGACCCAGGAAGGGCAGAGCCCTCCCCTCATTTCCCCCGAGGAGCTCCGTGGTGCATTTGCCTTGGAAAAGCTCATTGTGGGCCTGTAGATTTGGGCTGGGTCACCGAGAGCAGGGCCCATGGCTGGAAACGATGAACACTGTTAGTCCTCTGCCTCTCCCAGCTGCCCTGCAAGGAAGGCACCAAGACACCTTCATGTTCCAGATGGGGAAACTGAGGCACAGAGGGGCGGGTCTGGAAACTGGATACGGAGGGGCCCCAGCGGCCCCATCCCAGCACACACCCTCCGAGGGTGTCTCCCCGAGACGGGGCGCAGCCCACATCACAGGAAGGAGTCTGAGGCCCCAGACCCAGTGACGGGAAAGGGGAACCCCAAGCATTGCCCAGGGATGGGGGTCAGGCTCCAGCCCCTTCCCAACCTTCTTGCAGCCTCCGGGTCACGGGATCAGGGACGAGGGCTGTCGGGGCTGCAGTGGGGCCTGGTCGATCCCAGGAGTCAGATCTGCTGGTTGAAATACAGATCATAACCGAGAGCCTGCCCTGGGCCTGAGATGTGATTCTTTTTCTCTTTTTTTTTTTTTTTTTGAGATGGAGTCTCGCTCTGTTGCCCAGATTGGAGAGCCGTGGCGCCATCTCAGCTCACTGCAAGCTCCGCCTCCGGGGTTTACGCCATTCTCCTGCCTCAGCCTCCCCAGTAGCTGGGACTACAGGCACCCGCCACCACGCCCGGCCAATTTTTTGTGTTTTTAGTAGAGACGGGGTTTCACCGTGTTAGCCAGGATGGTCTCGATCTCTTGACCTTGTGATCTGCCCGCCTCGGCCTCCCAAAGTGCTGGGATTACAGGCTTGAGCCATCGCGCCCGGCCGAGAATTGCGTTTCTAACGAGAGTGGATTCCCTTTGCTCCTGGTCTCTGCCAGGCGCTGCTGGGCAGCTGGATTCGGACCCTCTGAGGCCCTCACTCAGTCACCAGCTCTGACAGCGCCAGCTCCCCCTTCCTCTGTGTTCCCCTTCCTGCTCCTTACCAGAGCTCCCACCCTCGCCGCCAGCACCTGGGAAAACCTTGGAGAGCCTCAGTCCTTTGGAAGTTCAGAAGGATCTGATTGGAGTTTGGGTGCAGGGCTCTTCCCTGGAGACAGAGGCAGCAGAGAGGCCTGGGTGACCCCCAAAGCCTGTACCTGACGCCCTGCTCCCCAGAAGGATGGGAGTGCCAGGCCCCCCGAGGACAGGCCAGTCCAGTTATCCAGCCACCCACCGTATTCCCCAAGAGGCAATTGGATTTTTAAACCGAAAACTCTCAGGAACAGTATCACCCCTAGGCCCTTGCCCCTTTGCCCATGTCTCCAATCCTGTCCATTGAGGTCATTTGACTGCTTGTGTCCCACCCTCAGACAACGTGTCCTCCCGCCAGCCTCCTCCACAGAGAAAGGCCCTGGAGGGGATGGGCTACCCAGCTCCCTGAGCTGCTGGCTCGGGGCTCCCTGCCCTGGGGGTGGGCACAGGTGGGAAGTGCAGCCTTGCACAGGTGTGTTCAGGTGGCCAATGATCCATCACCCCTGCGGCCTGGACTTCAGTCCGGCGCCTGCCGTGAGGAGCAGGAAGTGGGGAGCACAGCCCGGAGTTCAGGAGCTCACAAGCCCCCAGGTCCCAGTGGCCTCCCTGACTGCCTGGCCTCCCTCCGGCGACTCCAGGCACAACGACCTGCCCTGGCAGCTGCTGAAGATGTTCAACAACCGGCTGCAGGACGTGAGGGCCAACCTGACCACCTTGGCCAACACACACACCAACATCCCCAAGCTGAGGGCTGGCTTCGTAGGAGGTCAGGTACCGCCCGCCCTGCCTTCACTCACCCTGCGTGGGGTCATCCCGTCTCCTACCTTGGGCCTGGCTACAGTGTGGCCGTCCCTGTGGCGTTGTTCCTCCAGGGTCCCTCAGTGCCACAGGCCCTTGTAGAGACAGACACCAGGCCAAGGGAGGGCTTCCCAGGGGGTGGGAAACCAGACTCCCACAGGCATGTGGGGGGTGGGCTGAGACCTGGCTGCATCAGCTCCTGGTATCCCTTGTGGCCTCCAGTTCTGGTCCGTGTACACGCCCTGCGACACCCAGAACCAAGACGCTGTGCGGAGGACGCTGGAGCAGATAGATGTGGTCCACCGCATGTGCCAGATGTACCCTGAGACCTTCCTGTATGTCACCAGCAGTGCAGGTGGGGTCCTGACCTGGGCCCTCCAGGTCCTGCATCCTCCCACCCAGCCCTCATCCTGAGCAGCAGGTACTGATCAGGACACCTCCCCTCCAGACGCCAGGTGCCCACTCCCCTGCACCCCGACTCTCCCCGCAGGCATCCGGCAGGCCTTCCAGGAAGGGAAGGTGGCCAGCCTGATCGGTGTGGAGGGCGGCCACTCCATCGACAGCAGTCTGGGCGTCCTGCGGGCGCTCTATCAGCTGGGCATGCGGTACCTGACCCTCACCCACAACTGCAACACGCCCTGGTGCGTGACTCCCCACGGGAGGCCCCCGGGCTGTGGTCAGGAGGGAGGGGCAGACACTCCCTGCCACCCTCCTGAGCCCATCCCCTCCACCTGTGAGTCCCGGGCCGGGCCTCGCCTGCTGGGCTGATGGGAGGCCGAGCCCACCGCTCCACCCCTTGAGCACCTGCCTTTTGCTCCCGCAGGGCTGACAACTGGCTGGTGGACACGGGAGACAGCAAGCCCCAGAGCCAAGGCCTGTCACCCTTTGGGCAGGTGAGTGGGGTGGGAGGGGCCAGTCACCCCCGAGGAGAAGGCAGAGGCCCTGGAGGGTGACCGGAACAATGAATCTCCCCACGTGGGATCTCAGTGTCCTCATCTGTAAAATGGAGCTGGCAGCCATCCCCCCAGGGTGGGTGCTCAGCCCTGAGTGGCCCCAGACTTCCAGCCATGAAGGACGATGACTCACACCTGGTCCAGCCTGTCCACCTCCTCAGCCCCGACCCTGGGGGCCGTGAGGGTGGACGGAGCCCTGTCTTCCCAGCGTGTGGTGAAGGAGCTGAACCGTCTGGGAGTCCTCATCGACTTGGCTCACGTGTCTGTGGCCACCATGAAGGCCACCCTGCAGCTGTCCAGAGCCCCCGTCATCTTCAGCCACTCCTCGGCCTACAGCGTGTGCGCAAGCCGGCGCAACGTGCCTGACGACGTCCTGAGGCTGGTGGTGAGGGCCGAGGCAGCCACCCCCACCCCACCTCCCTGGACAGGCCCTCCCAGCTCTCAGCTCCACCCTGTCTTCCTGTGCAGAAACAGACAGACAGCCTGGTGATGGTGAATTTCTACAACAATTACATTTCCTGCACCAACAAGGCCAACCTGTCCCAAGTGGCTGGTAGGTGGGGTGTGAGTGGCCAAGGGGGCTGAAGCGGGAGGGCCTCACTCGGGACCCATACCTGCTGCTCCCTGGACAGACCATCTGGATCACATCAAGGAGGTGGCAGGAGCCAGAGCTGTGGGCTTTGGTGGGGACTTTGATGGTGTTCCAAGGTAAGGGGGTGAGAGCTCTGTCCCGCGGATGAGCTGGGAGGCTCATGACCCCGTCAGAGGGATGAGGCGGCTGGAGGAGGGACGTGTGTCCTAGTGTGGGGGCCCAGGTTCTCCTGGCCTCAACGCAGGGTCCCTGAGGGGCTGGAGGACGTCTCCAAGTATCCAGACCTGATCGCTGAGCTGCTCAGGAGGAACTGGACAGAGGCGGAGGTCAAGGGTGCACTGGCCAACAACCTGCTGAGGGTCTTCGAGGCTGTGGAGCAGGTGAGGATGGGGTGGCCGCCTGAGCCTCCCCCCCAACCACCAGCAGACAGGCTGCCCCACCTGTGTCTGTCCCCAGGCCAGCAACCCCACGCAGGCTCCCGAGGAGGAGCCCATCCCGCGGGACGAGCTGGGCGACTCCTGCAGGACGCATTACGGCTACCCCTCCGGGGCCTCCAGCCTCCATCGCCAGTGGGGGTTCCTGGTCCTGGCCTCCCTCGCTGCCCTGGTCCTCTGTCTGTGTCTCCTGTGAAAGCTGGGAGACCAGAGCCCCCTTTAGGGCTCCTGGAGTTCAGGGAAGACCTGCCCATCCAGGACTCCGGATGCCAGGAACCCTACTGCCCGCATGCAAGGACCAGCATCTCCTGAGCGGGTGTCTGGCCTCACCTGGGGGGCAGGATACCTGGGGACAGCTCAGGACACACACACACACACACAGGCCCTCAATAAAAGCAACATCCCTTCACATCGGGGGTGCGTGTCGTCGGCATCCAGCCCAGGAGGGGTGTGGAAACGGCTCCTGGCTGGACCTGGGGTGCAGGAGGGCCTGAGTCTTCGGTTCAGGCCAGAAGGACCCAGGAGCTGTGAACAGGGCTTTGTACAGATGCTGCTTGAACATCTTTCGGAACACAGTCTAGGCTCCAGTACCCACCTCCAGCCATGCACTGGTGCACACACACACACCCCTGCACACACACACACACCCCTGCACACACACACACACCCCTGCACACACACACCCCACCCCTGTACACACACACCCCACCCCTGTACACACACACCCCTGCACACACACACCCTGCACACACGCACACCAGCCCTGCACACACACACACCTCTGCACACACTCCTGCACACACACACACACCCTACCCCTGTACACACACACCCCTGCACACACGCACACCAGCCCTGCACACACACCCCTGCACACACACACCCCACCCCTGTACACACACACCCTGCACACACGCACACCAGCCCTGCACACACACACCCCACCCCTATACACACACCCCTGCACACACGCACACCAGCCCTGCACACACACACATACCTCTGCACACACTCCTGCACACACACCAGCCCTGCACACACACCCCTGCACACACACACACCCCACCCCTGCACACGCACACACACCTCTGCACACACACCAGCCCTGCACACACAC